ACGTGCCCAGCATGGCCCTGCCCTCTGCCCTGGCCTCATGGTCTCCCTTGGCTATTCCTTTACTGCTGGACTGGCCTCTGTCAGTTCCTCAAACCACACAGGCTCAGGCCTGACTCTGAGCCTCTCCCCCTCTGTGCCCTCTGCCTGGGTGCCTTTCCCAGGCTCCCCATCCTCCTCTCGGCCCGCTCAGCTCCAGTCTGCTGGTCATCCCTCAAGTTGACGAACACTCAGTGCCCTTCCACCCCCGGGCCTTTGCATAGGCTGTTCTCTGTGCCGGAAACACTTCCCCCCTCACCACCTGGGTTTCCTTTTCTAATCGTCATTNAAACTAAGAACTGCTCCTGGCCTGGTCAGCAGCTGCATGGCCCTCAAACTACAAACAGAAGTGTTCCTACCCAGGTCCACAGCTACAGTCCCTCAAACTAAAGTAGGAACTGCTTCTGCCCAGATCCCCAGTTGTGCAGCGCTCAAACAAATGTCAGAACTGCTCCTGCCAAGGTCCGCATCTGCGTGGCCCTTAAACTGAAGTGAGAAGAACTGCTCCTGCCCAGGTCCCCAGCTCTGCAGCCCTCAACCTAAAGTAACAACCACTCCTGCACAGATCTCCATCTATGCAGTCTTCAAACAAAAGTAAGACCTGCTCCTGCCAAGATCCGCAGCTGCACGGCCCTGAAACTAAACTAAGAACTGCTCATGCCCAATTCACCAGCTTTGCAGCCCTCAACCTAAAGTAAGAACCACTCCTGCACAGACACCCAGCTGCGTGGCACTCAAACAAAAGGACTGCTCCTGCCGAGGTCCCCAGCTGTGCAGCCCTAAATGAGAGGAAGAACTGCTCTTGCCCAGGTCCGCAGCTGAGCAGCCTTCAAACTAAGAACAAATGCTGCCCAGGTTTGCAGCTGTGTGGCCCTCAAACTACAAAAAGAACTGCTCCTGCCCAGGTCCCCTGCTTTGTGGCCCTCAATCTAAAGTAAGAACTGCTCCTGCACAGATCCCCAGCTGTGTGGTCCTCAAACTAAAGTAAGAATTGCTCCTGCCGAGGTCTGCAGCTGCACCACCCCAAACTAAAGTAAGAACTGCTCCTGCCGAGGCCTCAAGCTATGTGACCCTGAAACTAAAGTAAGAACACCTCCTGCTGTTGACTGCAGCTGTCAGACCCTCATAAAGTAAGAACAGCTCCTCCTCGGTCTCCAGCTTCAGGACCCTCCTGAACAATCCCTTCTTATGAAATTCAGCAGTCAACAAAACCACAGCAGAAATAAATGAATAAATGTTTTGCTTTCAAATTAATGTCTCTTTTATATTCTTGCAAGTCGGTTAACTTTTCTACTTTCCATGAACCTTGCATTGGGTAGAACCCAATGTCAGATGGAAATACACTGTTTGAAATAACATTTAAAAACATAGTAATAGTTTTAATATCATCACACAGCTGTAGAAAGAATCTTCTTTCTCTCTCTCTGCATTAAAGTCTCATGAACATTCAAACTATGAATTTACTTTGCTGAGGTTCCCAGAATACACATTAACCCCAATGTGACTCCCTTCCTTAAAATTTTTCAGCTCATTCTGGTTACCGGAGCACAAATGCCAGCTCCCGTCACAGCCCACGTGCCCAGCATGGCCCTGCCCTCTGCCCTGGCCTCATGGTCTCCCTTGGCTATTCCTTTACTGCTGGACTGGCCTCTGTCAGTTCCTCAAACCACACAGGCTCAGGCCTGACTCTGAGCCTCTCCCCCTCTGTGCCCTCTGCCTGGGTGCCTTTCCCAGGCTCCCCATCCTCCTCTCGGCCCGCTCAGCTCCAGTCTGCTGGTCATCCCTCAAGTTGATGAACACTCAGTGCCCTTCCACCCCCGGGCCTTTGCATAGGCTGTTCTCTGTGCCGGAAACACTTCCCCCCTCACCACCTGGGTTTCCTTTTCTAATCGTCATTCATCCTTGGTGTCTCCACTGAAATATCATTCCCTGCTCACCCCCCGTCCCTTGGACTAACTCTGGGTAAGTCACCAACCCCTATCTCCTGACTCCAGGAGTCCAGACACTATCCCAGCCCTCGGAACTTTCCCACTGCCACGTTTTGTAGACCTGTCATTATTCTATTAGTTTGGTGCAGAAGTCATTGCAGTTTTCCCATTACTTTTAATTAACTGCAGCACCAGCTCCTCCCCACTTTTTTCCCCCATTGCTATTAATGGCAAAAACTGCAATGACTGCTGCACCAGCCAATAGAATAATTTACATGTATGCATCCATCCTCTGTCTGCCCCTCTGGAAAAGATACCCCTTGAAAGCAGGGAGCAAATCTACTCAAATCACTCCACCTCCCCAGCACGTTGTCGATAATTATTTCCCACCTGACTGACAGAGAAATACCTTCATTGTTGTTGGTTGCGGCACATCACAGGACACACCCCTTTGAAAGTCAATGTCACAGGCAGTCAGCGTTTGCTTTTTTACTCCTGCACCTGCAGCCTGGCTGGGCTTAGGCTGATCTAATCTGGGCTTGACTCCGGGCTGAGGTTGGAACCATGAGTGCTCCACATGCCCCTCCTCCTGCAGCTGGAGCCATAATTCTCTGGGGCATGCCCATCTCATGGGAAAAATCAAAAGTATTAGAGGGCAGGCCTGGCAGGACCCACACAGTTCAGGCTTCTGCTTGTGCCATGTCTGTTAAAGTCTTGTTGGCATAAGCAAGTCACCCGGCCATGAGCAACACATCTGGGATGGATAAGTCCATCCACACTCCCTTGGGCCCTGGTGAGGATGTGGATGTGTCATGTTCTTCCAGGGGTGGGGAGGTGAAATATTGAGGCCCAACATTAAATCACCCACAGCAAGAAATGTCAGCCTCTGTAGCCCCATGCTGGAATCATTCTTCAGCCGCAGGCTCCCCTGAGCTGACTTCCCTTTGCAATGGTCCCTGCCTAGGCAACTATGGTGCAATTCCATCCTCCATCGGGGTCCCATGGATGGAGACAGCCTCTCCTCTTTTTCTCTCTCACTCTACATGGCTCTTCCTGACCTTTCAGATGGCTGAGCCACAAAGCTCTTCTCTCCCTCCAATGTAACTCTTCTCTTGCTCTACACCCTCCCTGCCACACTCGCCTCCTCCCATTCCCTTGGTGTGACCCTGTCACCTCTCACCAGAGCAACTAGAACATACCTCGTGAA